CCACGCAGTGCTGTGCTGCACGGCTGGTGCTTCGCTGGTCTACTGGAAACACATCCTACATCCTTTGTTTTGTGTCAGTGGCAGCCTCTGAACACTGGAAAGGGTTATCCCCGACCCAAGTTTCCCTACTGGGGCCACACATTCCAGGTGCGAAGGAATGGACTGGATTAAGTAGAGCCCACATCCACTGTACTAGAAGGTAAGGATACTGAGATGAATAAACTGGGTTGCTACCTTGAAGGAGCCCATGGGTTGGTGAAAAAGGTAGATGAGGCTGGACACAGTGGCTCACGCTTATAATCCCAGCACTCTGGGTGGCCAAGGCAGGTGGATTACCTGAGGTCGGGAGTTCGAGACCAGCCTGACCAACATGGAGAAACCCGTCTCCACTAAAAATACAAAATTAGTCGGGGTGGTGGCACATGCCTGTAGTCTCAGCTACTCAGGAGGCTGAGGCAGGAGAATCACTTGAACCCAGGAAGTGGAGGTTGCAGTGAGCCGAGACCACACCATTGCTGAGATAGTGCCATTGCACTCCAGCTTGGGCAACAAGATTGAAACTCTGTCTCAAAAGAAAAGAAAAGAAAAAGATAGATGAGTAAACCAGCTGTTTCACTGCCGTGTGGGACTCAAGCTGCTTTGGGAGCACAGAAGGGATCATGTCCACAAAGATGTTCCTGATTAGAAAAAAGAAATCAAGGCCGGGCGTGGGCGCTCATGCCTGTAATCCCACCACTTTGGGAGGCCGAGGTGGGCAGATCATGAGGTCAGGAGTTGGAGACCTGTTTGAGACGTGGTGAAACCCCGTTTCTACTAAAAATACCAAAGTTAGCCAGGCATGGTGGTGTGTGTCTGTAATCCCAGCTAATCAGGAGGCTGAGGCAGGAGAATCACTTGAACCCAGGAGGCGGAGGTTGCAGTGAGCCGAGATCGTGCTACTGCACTCCAGCCTGGGCGACAGAGGGAGACTCCATCTCAAGAAAAAAATGAAAGAAAGAAAGAAAAAAGAAAAAGAAAGAAAGAAAGAAGGAAAGAAGGAAAGAAGGAAGGAGGGAAAGAAGGAAGGAAGGAAGGAAGGAGGAAATCAAAGTAGAGAATGAGGCAGCAATACCGAAACAGCAGTTCTTTCATGGGTATAACTAATCAAGTAATAATTTAAAGAACTGTGAGTTTGCACAACACTTTACATGCATTCAAATGGATTGGATCCTCACACCAGCTATGAAAGAAAGGTAGCATTTATATTTATACGAGCCAATGTGTTTAGCATTCATTAATTGAGTGCCCACTGTGTGCTGGCACTGTGCTAGGCTCTGGGAGAGCTGTGAACAGAGCCAGCTGCCTGCACCTTGCCCTCTAGTAGGAGGTCAAGCCATCCTCAGTTGGTGTGACTTCTTTGTGATCATACAGCTAGTGAGGGAGGCAACAGCTGGTACTGGGCCTTCTGTGCAATCGGCTTTTCCACCATTGAGAACACATTTTTCTGACACTTTTTCCAGCACCCCCAGATAACTCTGCTTGTTCTATTGGCAACAATGACACCAGCAAGCAGAGGTTGTCACTAGGCATGCAATAATGTGAGATTTCAGCAGTGCTTAAACTAGGGAAGGTTTCGGATGCCAGAGCAATGGTGGACAGGAATGAAAGAGGTGGGGGAAATAAACCCCATGAAAGGAAAGAGGACATTTCCCCTTATACCCAGCTCATATTGAAAGTTTGGAAATGACTGAGTTAAGCCAGCCCACCATGTGCCTTAGTATAGCTTGTTCCATCTCTGGCTGTTGTCTGGCATTTTTTAACAATCATAGACATTTTCAGGATATATTAAGTCATTTTTATTTTGGTGGTTCATATATAGCCAAAGTTGGCAGGATTGGCTTACTTTGCCTTTATTGGAGCTCCACACAAAGTGGTGCACTGATAAATGTTTGTTCAACAACTGGCTTTCTAGGAAAAAAAAAGGCAAATACATAAGCACATACATTTGTCATAAATTTTACTGCTATCAAGTTGTGTAGCACACAATTCACAAATAAGTAGACAAGACTCTCGATTGTAAATATTAATAGCCAATTGATTCTTACAAAAGACTTTTGTTGATTTCTGCTGAACTGTTGTATCCATAGTCAACCTGTGGTTGTAATTCAACCATGATTTGACAAAAATCAAGCTATGAACTAATGTTTGATTACTATACCATTCAGCAAAGTCACTCAAGGCATTAACAAATGACTGTATTCTATTTTTTTTTTTTTTTTTTTTGAGATGGAGTCTTGTCTTGTCACCCAGACTGGAGTGCAGTGGCGTGATCTCAGCCCTCCGCCTCTGGGGTTCAAGTGATTCTCCCGCCTGAGCCTCCTGAGTAACTGAGACTATAGGTGCCCACCACCATGCCCAGCTAATTTTTGTATTTTTAGTAGAGACAGGGTTTCACCATATTGGCCAGGCTGGCCTCAAACTCCTGACCTTGTGATCTGCCCGCCTCAGCCTCCCAAAGTGCTGGGATTATAGGCGTGAGCCACAGCACCAAGCCATGAGTGTAGTTCTAACATGAATGCTGGTGGATGTTTTTGTTTACTCTGAATGAACAGAAAGGAAACCATGAAGATGTGGAAACTTCATTCATTAGTCAATGTGAGTGACGGCACTGAATTAGATCAGCAATATTTTTGAATCAGATCTCCCAGTATTTTTGAATACTGGAAGAATATTTCCTCAATTCTACTCACAACCTAGCAGCCACAGACCCACTTTTAAGTTTTATGACACACTTTTACATTTAATCTGTATCATTAACATTTCCTCTTCACCTTTTTAAGTATAGACAGGGAACAAAAAAGGAAGCCCTGATTTTTAGTGTTTGCCATTTTTGGTGGTGTGAATACTCCCGGCATGGCTGATTTCATGCCACCATTCGTGACATTACTGAACACGGTGACGGGAAGAGAGGTGCATACATATCGTTATGTAGGATTTTGACAATACAGGTCTAATAGAAGAAAATAACTCTTAGAGAGTAGGGAATAGCAAAATGTAGCAAAATTATTTGAAAGAGATGTTTTGAGTATTTATGACCTTTATTTTTATTTTTATATTTTTTTGAGATGGAGTTTCTCTCTTTTTGACCAGGCTGAAGTGCAATGGCCCAATCTCAGCTCATTGCAACCTCCATCTCCCGGGTTCCAGCAATTCTCCTGCCTCAGCCTCCTGAGTAACTGAGATTACAGGAATGCCCCACCATGCCCAGCTAATTATATATTTTTAGTAGAGACAGGGCTTCTCCATGTTTGTCAGGCTGGTCTTGAACTCCTCAGGTGATCTGCCCCCCTCAGCCTCCCAAAGTGCTGGGATTACAGGCGTGAGCCACTGTGGCCGGCATCACCTTTATTTTTAATGTAATTTAATTGAAATTTTATATAATTTAGTTTATAACAATAGCTGTATTTAACAACCAGCCTGCAAAATCCTGAAAATTCATCAATCTGTTCCCATGTAGTACAAACTGGCTCCAGCACCCCACTACCGTCTGCATATCACTCACATTTAAGTGGAAAAGATTAGTTTTTTTATAAAGTGCTGTGACACTTGCCTTGTAAAATGAAACTTATGGCCAGGCACGGTGGCTCATGCCTGTAATCTCAACACTTTGGGAGGCCAAGGCGGGTGGATCATGAGGTCAGGAGTTCAAGACCAGCCTGGCCAACATGGTGAAACCCTGTCTCTCCTAAAAATACAAACATTAGCCAGGTGTGGCAGCGTGCACCTGTAATCCCAACTATTTGGGAGGTTGAGGCAGGAGAATTGCTTGAACCCAGGAGGCGGAAGTTGCAGTGAGCCGAGATCATGCCACTGCACTCCAGCCTGGGCAACAGAGCAAGACTCTATCTTGAAAAAATAATAATAAAATAAAATAAAATGAAACATATGAACAGGTGCTCAATATATGTATGTTAGATGAATGAATTTAGAAGAATATTTGTGCTAATCAAAGCATGCTCTTGATTTTTACAAAATCATACACCTGAATGTGGAATAACTGCATCTGAACTGGCAAATACTGTGCTTACTCTAATGAGCCTCTTTTCTCAGCTACAGTGTGGTTTTCCACCCTTCTAAAGACACAGCTTGAATTTTGAAACTAGGTCCCTGCAATTTGATCCTATCTTGTTTGACTTGGAAGAATAACTCATAACAAAGCTGATTTTTAAAATATTGGTAGGTTCCTTAAGACTCTGATTGTGATGTCTGCTCAGGTGAGCACCTGCTAATTAGCTAGCTGGGATCTGGTCCTTGGGGACTTGTCTCACCAGCTGCTTCAGATTGTTTACACTGTGAGACACTCACCTTTATCCCTGCAATTAATTAGGGGTGGAGCCTTTGCAGTCTTGCTTTTAATTCACAAATGACAAACACATTTCCCCTCAGCACGCTCCTCTCTGCAGTGTTATTCTGTAAGTGATCTGTTTGTGGGTTACAGAAGGCAAGCCTAGAGCTGTATTGAAGTCACTGCTTTGCAGGCACAGAATAAGGAAGCCAACCATCGGAGGAGCAGGGACCTATGGCACGACGGCTCTTTTGTCTTTCATTTAGTCTCACTCACTCAAATAATTAATAAATAAGCACCAAGTGCCCACCTGGAATCTGAGCAGTGTGATTATTATTAATTTTTTTTGGAAACAGAGTCTTGCCTTGTCACCCTGGAGTGCAGTGGCATGATCCCAGCTCCCTGAAGCCTCAACCTCCTAGGCTCAAGCAATCCTCCTGCCTCAGCCTTCTGAGTAGCTGGGCCTACAGGTGTGCACCCACCACACTTGGCTAATTTTTTGTATTTTTTTTATAGAGATGAAGTTTTGCCATGTTGCTTAGGCTGGTCTTGAACTCGTGGTCCAAGTGATCCGCCCTCCTCAGCCTCTCAAAAATACTGGAATTACAGGCATGAGTCACTATGCCAAGCTGTAAATTCTTAATATTTAAAAAACTACATTGACTTTTTCTTACAGAGACAAACATAATCATCACTGACTGTAGAAGACAGTAATGAAATACAGATAAGACAAAAGAAAAAATCCATAATTCACTCTCAAAGATGTTCTCACTAAGTCTTCCAGACTTTTTAGTCTGTCTATAACATAAGGCTGCAAAATTGGGACCATACTTAATATAAGGATGTGGGTTTTTTAACTTAAAAATATATAATCAAAAAAATTACTTAAAAACTTTTAAAAAATGTATTTTAGCGATAAAGTCTTGTTCTGTCTCCCAGGCTGGAGTGCAGTGGAACTAACCTCTTACTTCCAGGTTCAAGCAATCCTGCCTCAGCCTCCTGGGTACCTGGGACTGCAGGTGTGAGCCACCGAGACCTGTTAAGAGTTGCTTTTAGTAAGGCTTTAACACTAGTTAGTCCAAGGAGGAGACAAAGGGTTAGATTCATTGTCTTGAAGGGAAATGAAGCGACCCTTTTTGTAATCCTGTCCACTCTGGAAAGGCAGTACTGCTGCCGAAGAAATGGAGTGGCCGCCGCAAGCCCTTCTGCGTAGCATACGCTGTTCATGAAATGAGGTAATTGGAAGCCTTGGAATCTTGTCATTGTTTTCTTGTGGTGTCAATTGGATTAGATTCTTTAATTTTGGAAATTAGACTGTTGTTAATTAATACATATTTCTGTAGTTGCTTCCTTTAGCTTAGTGGTAAAAAAAAATTTTTTTTTTTTTTTTAATGCAAGGTTGTGGTATTACCTGTGCTAAGAAGAAACAGAATAGAGCTTTAGCGGCAATACTGCCTTTAAACTTGAGGGAGCAATGATCTGGGACCCAGCCAGGAGAAGAGGCAGCAAGGTCAGAAGAGTTCTCTGAACAACTCTCCATCTAACGCTGGAGACCTGTAGGCATCGCAGCCTCCTTCTGTCTCTGAGAAAGTTGTGGAGATGCTAAGATTAGGTTCTGAGCTCAGCTGTTGATAAACAAATACATAGAGGCAGGCAGGCAGCCTGGGTGGGGTGGGAGTGGGCTCCTTCCGGGAAGCTGGAGAGCAGCAGGGAGGAGGCGTGCTCTCCCCTACTTCCCTTCACTGCCCTTCCCCTAGGGGTCATAGCCCACATCCACTATCACCTGTAGCCCAGGCTTCTCCCTCCTCTGAGCCACAGACACTCTTGGCCAGCTTCTTAGGTGGCAGTTCTACCTGATGTTCCCCGATCCCCTTCACACTGAATGACGAAGGGGAGCTCATTGCTACCCCACACCATCAACTCCCCTCCTGCTCCTCTTCCTGGGTCCTTGGGAACCGTGTTCTTACCCCTCAAGTCTGTGGGTCTCCTTTTTTTTTTTTTTTTTTTTTTTTTT